AGGCTGGTTTCGAACTCCTGAGCTCAAACAATCTGCCCGCCTCGGCCTCCCAGAGAGCTAGGATTACAGGCGTGAGCCACCGCGCCCGGCCAGAATAATGTTTTTGAAATTTTCATTCCTATTTATTGCTGAGATGTGCCAAAGTTTGTTTATCCATTAACCGGCTGATGGATATTTGGGATATTTCAAGTTTGGGGCACTATGAATAGAACTTCAATGAACATTTATGGATAAGTGAAAAAAAGGCCAAAAATTTTCCAAATTTGATGCAAATTATAAATACATAGATCCAATAAGCTGGATGAACTCCACGCGAGGGAAGCAGTTGAGTACCTGTGCTGGGTGTGTGATAACACTGGTCAAACGTCTCACCAGCAGCCAGTGATAGATAGATGTGTTATGTACAAGGGAACAGAATGAGGACATCAGATTTCTTATTGGAAACAGGATAAGCCAGAAGATAGTGGACCAACATCTTTAAAGAAAAACAAAACAACATCTGTAAAATGACGTATCTCACACCAGGAAATGGAAAAAAATAAAAATAAAATAATTCAGACTTCTGTAGCCAGCAAAAACAACTTTCAGAAATGAAGGCAAAATAAAGACTTTTCCAGACATACAAAAGATGAAAGAACTCATCGCTGTTAGCAAGCAATTCATCACCATGGTATAAGTGATGGTTTTTTTAAAAAAAGTCCTCAGGCCAAAGGAAAATGATACCAGACAGAAATACGGATCTACAGGAAAGGATGAACATTGCCAGAAATGGTCACTGGGCTGGGCTCATGTCTGTAATCTCAGCACTTTGGGAGGCTGAGGTGGGAGGATGGCTTGAGGCCAGGAGTTCAAGACTAGCCTGGGCAACATAGCAAGACCTCATCTCTACAAAAAATAAGAAAATTAGCTGGGCATGCTGGTGTGTGCCTGTAGTCCCAGTTACTTGGGAGGCTGAGGCAGGAGGATTGTTGGAGCTCAGGAGTTCAAGGCTGCAGTGAGCTATGGTGGAGCCACTACACTCCAACCTGGGTGATAGAGCAAGAGCCTGTCTCTTAAAAAGCAAACAAACAAAAAACCAGAACTACAGGGATAAATACGTATTAAGAAGATTTATTTTCTCACTATTTAAATCTCTAAACTATAACTATTTAAACAAAAATAATAACAATGTAATAGTGGGTTCATAACACGTAAAAGTAAATACATGACAACAACAGCATAAAAGTGAGGAGGGAAGAATGGAGCTGCCATTGTAAGGGCCTCACGCTGCGCCCAGCGGCACGATGTCACCTCAGGGCAGACCGCGACTGGTTACGTGTGTGTGCTGCAACCTCTAAAGCAGCCACTTAAATACAGCTATCGCTAATAGCCCGTCAAAATAGATCCAAGGCTCGATAAATCTAAAAGGATTTAAGTCATACAAAGTGTATTCTCTGACTATAATGCAATTAAATTAGAAATCAATAAAATAATATCGGGAAAATCCCAGATATTTAGAAATTAAATAATATACTTCTCAATAACCCATGAGGCAAAGAATAAAACAAAAGAGAAATCAGAAAATATTTTGAACTGTATAAAAATAAGAACGCACGATAACAAAATGTGTGGCTATCACTAAAACAGTGCTTATGGGGAAAATTTAAAGCACTAATTGTCTGCATTAGGAAAGAATAAAGTTCTCAAATCAAGGACCTCAGCTTCCACCTTAATAGATTAGAAAAAGAAGAGCAAATTAAGCCCGAAGTTAAGTAGAAGAAAGGAAACAGTAAAGATCAGAATGGAAATTAATGAAATTGAAGGCAGAAAAACACTAGAAAAAAATCAAAGATCAATAAAATTGACAAATCTCCAGCCACACTGGTCGCAAGAAAAACCAGAAGACAAAAATCACCAGTATCGGGAATAAGAGCAAGGTCATCGTTACAGATTCTATGGGCAGTAAAAGGATAATGGGAGAATTTGAAAACAGATGAAATCGACAAATTCCTTAAAAGACACAAACTATTAAAGCTTACTTAGGTAGAAAGAGATAACCTAAATAGCCCTATGTAAAAGAAAGATATTAAATTTATAGTTTAAAACATTCCCACAAAGAAAACTCCAAATCCAGATGGCTTCACTGGTGAATTCTACCAAATATTTAAAGACGAACTAACTCATTTAGAAAATTGGAAAGGATATAATACGTCCCAGCTAATTCAATGAGGCCAGCATGATCCTGATATTGGAAAAAAAGGGCATTACAAGGAAAAAGAATACTACAGACCAATGTCCTTCATGAACATTTATGCAAAAAAAAAAAAAATATAAGCTAAAATGAACTTGGATTCATACCTTGCATTGGATGCGAAAATTAACTCAAAATGGACAGTAGATTAAATGTAAAGCCTAAAACTATAAAACCTCTAGAAGAAAACATAAGAAAAAGCCTTAGAGGTCTCGGGCAAGGCAAAGATTTCTTAGCTATGATACCAAAAGTATGATCCATGAAAGAACAAATTGCTAAGTTGAACAAGGTCACAATCAAAACTTCTCTTCAAAATACACTGTTAGAAAAATGAAAAGACAGCTACAGACTAGGAGGAAATCTTGGCAAATAATCATCTGATATAGCATCAGAATATATTATTAATAAACTCTCAAAACTCAATACTAAGCAAACAACCCAATTTTTAGAATAGACAAAAGATTTGAACAGACACTTAACTCAGAATATACACAGATGCCAAATAAACACGTGAAAATAGTGCTCAACATCGCTGGTCATTCGGGAAACACATATGGAAACCGCAGGGAGGGCCGCTGCGCGCTGTAAGAGTGGCTGAAATTGCAAAGACCGGCCACCAGTGTCAGCGAGGACACACAGGAAGCAGAGCTCTCCCCACTGCTGGTGGGGGTGTGAAAAGTGCAGCCACATTCGGTCGTTTCTCAGAGAGTTAGACACGTACCTACACGTGACCCAGCCGGTGTGCTCCCTGGTTTTACTCCAGAGAAAGAAGGCGTGAATCCACACAGACTCATTTGCAGCTTCATTTGAAACAGCCCAAAACTGGAGGCCACCGGGCGTCCCTTAGTGGGTAAACAGACAGACTGTGGCGTATCCATCCGGGCGCGGCACAGCAGACGTGGGCGAATGGTCAATGCGCGCATCGGCACGGATGAGCCCTCGTAGTTAGGTTAAGAGAAGCAGCCAGACCCCCCGCCAAAGTGGAGAACATACCGCGTGGTTCCTTTTGTGTAAAATACTAGGAAATGCAATCTTACGTCTAGGGACAGAAAGCAGATCAGTGGTGGCCAGGGGGTGGCTGGGGTGAGTGGGGAGGGGCGGGAGAGATTACAAGGAAGCACCACGAGCCTTCCTGGGGTGATCGTGTCCCCTCTGTTCATTACGGCAATGGCTTCGTGGTGTGCACGTGCGCCAGAACTTACCAAATTGTCTACTTTAAATACATGCATTCGTTATGTGCCACCTGTTCCTCAGCAAAGCTATTTTAAAGAGACATTAACGGCAAAATCCAGTGAAAAGACCAAATGTACTAGCTGTGTGACCTTAAGCAAGTTGCCAAACCTCTAGTTTCCGAATCTACAAAGGAGGAATGTAATTATTATTATTTTCCTTGTAGGGTTGTTGTGACAATCAAAGATAACATGTTAGATACATTTTGTGCCAGATACATGGCCGCTAAGTGATGCAGATAATAGTGCTTGCGAGAGTAATGGGACAGTCGCAGTCACTGGACTCCACGGTGTCCCGCTGCGTGAGCCTGGGGAGCCCTCTGTGGAGGCCGTCGCCCTGTCGCCCCGCGCGTGGGGGGAGCTGCGGCCCGCCCGTTTCTGCCGCTCGCTCCCTCCCTCCTCCTGGTGTGGCCAGAGCTGAAAGGGGTTTCCCTGTGTCTCTGCCACTGCACAGCCCTGTCCCCAGCCACCGCCCGTCTTGGGGTCCCTTCCTCCTCCCCTAATTTTGGGACCCCTACCTGGAACCACACGGACGCGCAGGGATCAGTCGGGAGGAAGCCTCCTGGGAGACGGGGCGAGAGAACGCGTGCCAGGCACGCGGGCTGCTCGCGCCCACAGGCGGGCGCCTACTCCAAAGGGCAAGGCCGTCCTTCCCGGCAGCGGGGCCCCCACTCCTGGCTGGAGAGGGCGCACTGACACCCCCACACACTGAATCCCCCACGTGCGTTCGTGCCACTCAGGTTCGCAGCCGCCTCTGCACGTCGGGAAGCCAGTGCCAAAGCCGGCCGTTGCTGGGGGGGGCCGCTCAGGGCCGGCGGAGGCAGGGCTTCGGGCAGATGCAGCTGGCGCCCCATGGTGCCCTCCGGCCTTGCCCCCTGTGAACCCTTAGAACCCTCGCCAGTGACGCCATAGATCATTCAGCATTTCTGGACCCGATATGCCACTTGAAAAGTTACGTCCCTGCAAACCAGAGCCTGTTCCCCACTTGGCCTCTGCACTGAGCTCTGTGGGTGCTCAGTGTGGCCGTTAGACCCCTCAAAGGCAGCCCGGCCACCAGCCCGGGGTCCCGGCGGACTGTCCCCTCCCTTTGAGGTACATTCCAAACCGAGACCCCAAGGACTGTGCCAAAGTGAAGTTTTGAGCCAAGAAAGAGCAACATCTGTTTTCGCCCAGCCGCGGAGAGTGGGGCTTTCGTGGGACCAGAGACTGGCGCACAGGCTCCCTGGCGAAGGCCTCGGTATCCAGCGCTCTGCGCTGGCTGAGAAAGAACCCCCATCTCTTTGCCGAACAGCGAAGGAGCCCGGCCCTGGCTGCCCACCCCCTGCCCCGCCCCGTCCAACTCGGAGCCTTGCTTCTCGTGCCTGGGCGCCCCGGCAGCAGCCACAGGCCTGAGCGTTGGACCTTGAGCTTGGAGAGCCCCGCCCCGAATGTGCATGCACCTCTGTGGCTGCGCCTGCGTGTGTGTGTGCGTGTGCGTGGCCTGCATGCGTGTGTGACAAGGGTCGCTTCTGGAGCATGTCGCCCTCTGTCTGCCCATCCAGGTTACTCCTCGCTGCAGGACGAGCTGCTGTCCCCCGCCTCACTGCACTATGCGCTTCCCTCTCCGCTGCGTGCAGACCAGTACTGGAACGAGGTGGCCGTCATAGACGCCATCCCCCTGGCCGCCACGGAGCATGATGCCATGCTGGAGATGTCTGACATGCAGGTGTGGTCCGCGGGCCTCACGCCCTCCCTGGTCACTGCTGAGGACTCCTCTCTGGAGTACAGCAAGGCCGAGGACTCTGACGCCACAGGCCGAGAGTGGAAGTTGGAGGGAGCGCTCTCGGAGGACCCGCGGGGCCCCGAGCTGGGCTCTCTGGACCTCGTGGAGGACGACACAGTGGACTCAGATGCCACAAATGGCCTTATCGATTTGCTTGACCACGAGGAAGGTCAGAGGTCAGAAGAGAAGCTGCCAGGTCATAGGAGGCAGGATGACTGGCCACATGCAGGGCAGGACGCAGAGAGTGAGGTGTCTCTTGTTTCAGGCCAGCAGCGGGTGCGAGCCCGAGTCACAGCCTCGCCCACCGTGAGTCGGGTGGTGGACAGGACCCAGGACAGGTAAGGGCGTGGCCGCGGCGGCGGGGCCCTCTGGTCTTCTGGGCTCCTGGGTAAGGTTGTGCCCAGTGGTGCGTCACAGGGAATTCTTGGGTGCTGATGGCACCCTGTCCCCATGCCCCCCGTTACGAATGGCCCAGAGCAAGTAAGTTCCGTGTGGCTGCAGCTTGCCTCAGAAGCCGCCTCAGTAGGTGCGCAGCTGTGGTCTGCGAGGGCTGGCCCCTCCCCAGGGCACTGCCCGGGTGTGGCCAGCAGAAGCAACGCCAGGGGTGTTGGGACAAGGGAGAGCCACTTAGGAGAGCGATCACATGGCCTGGGGAAGCGAGGCCCCAAAGCGCTGCTGTGTCGGGTGCCCCGACACTGCGGCTTCCTACTGAAGACCGTATTTGGAAACCTAGAAGCGCCGGGACCCAGAGAAGTGACTTGCGTGCAGTCGCAGCCTGCACGTGGCAGGCTGACAGCGCGCCCGGCTCCTGCCCTGTTGGAAGTGCAGTGGGCTTGTCGGGGCGGGCAGAGCTCTCGGCTGTTGAGCAGAGGGGTCCCATCCCTGAGCGCCCCATGCTGGAGGGTGCGGTGCCACAGGGTCCCTTCTCCGGTGCTGAGAGTCTGTGAGACCGTCTGGCCTGCCTTCGAGCCCTCTGGGCCTCCAGCCATGGTCACCTGCCACGCCCAGAGCCTTGCTGAGTGCGGGCGAGGACTCCGAGGCCATCCGGGTGCCTGCGGGCTCAGAGGGAGATGGGACGACAAGGGGTGGGGCTCCCTTCGGCCCCCTGGGCTGGCATATGAAGCCGTGACAGGCCCCCTTTCCCGTACTGCCTGCTTCCGTAGCTTTGCTGAAGCAGGGAGACGGTTCACCCTCCCGGGAGGCTGTGGCCACCCGCCCAGCTCAGGGCTCAGGCTGGCCAGGTTGCAGGAAAGCTGTTCTCACCCCGCCCCAGCGCTGCCCCACGGGCGCCCTCCTCAGAGGCCCGGGCTGGTGGCTGTTCCCCGGAGTCGTTTAGCTGATGAGACAGCAAAGAATTCGTGTTGTTTCCTACACAAATCTCTGGGTTGGGGGGAGGATTGGACAGACTGAGCCTAGGAGGGTTCCAGGTGAAGTATGGGTCTCCCTGCAAGAGAGCTCGTCTTTGCTGTGATGGCCGTTCCTTCAGCGAGCGTTTATTGAGTGCTTGCTGTGTGCTGGCCCCTGCACCATTAGAATAGCAGAGTCACTAAATGGGGAACCAGAGGCCTGGGTTCTAGGCCTGGTTGTGTCACTTCTCAGCTCCATGCCCTTGGTCAGTCTTCCAGGGGAGACAGACACATTTCCATCACTCACTCACTCTGCATTTATTGAGCACCTACGCATGCCAGCCCCCTGTGAAAACTGCCGGTATGTGCTGGGGTATGGCCTTGAGCATAACAGGCAGACGTCTCCACCTGCAGGCGGCGTGTGGTCCAGTGTGGAGAATGACAGGGCACGAGATAAAGTAAATGAAATTAGAAGGCATCGAAGTGGGAATTCTAGATAATCAATGCTAAAGAGAAAAACCAAGGCAGGAAGGTGCTAGGAGGTGGGTGAGTGCGTGGAGAGAAGGGGTGGCTGGAATCGGGGGTCAGGGAGGCCTGAGTAAGTGGCGTTCGAGTGACTTAAAGGGTGGAGGGTGAGGCGGAGACGTCGCAGAAGGCCCCGCCTGTGCACAAGCCGGGGGGACAGCGTGCCTGGGTCAGAGCAGTGAGGGGAGGGCACAGGGCGCCCGAACCAGGCCGGGAGGTCCCCGAGAGCCCCTGGCGTTGCTGGCGGGGCAGGGAGCCCTTAGGGGCTGGGCAGAGCAGCGGTGAGGCTGGCAGCTGCCCTGAGGATCGCGCGTGCCCAGCGGAAGCGGGGAAAGGTCAAGAGGCCAGAGTCCGGTGGGGCAGGCAGTGTGGACCAGGAGGGCGGCAGTGGCGCCAAGAGTCGGTTGCTTTTGGGGCGTATTCTGAGAGCTGGACCAAAAGGTGTTGCCGACAGCTGCGGTGTGGATGTGAGGGGCAGAGGGTCCGGCAGGGCGCTGGTGCCTCGACCCCTACCGCGGGGGGAGGTGCCGGGAGCTGCGGGGGGACGACCCGCAGAACGGGTGGGGAGATCTGAAGCGTGGATTCAACCACGCGGGCCTGTGGGTGCCAGCGAGAGGCCTGAGGTGGAGACGTGGAGGAGGCCATGGGGCGCACACGCGTGTAGTTTAGACGGCAGGCGCGTGCGTGGGCGGCGGGTGGCTCTGGAGCCCAGGAGGAGCTCACTCGGGAAGTGGAGACAGCGGCACAGCGCTGTGCAGACAGCGGTGAAGTCTGAGCCCTGAGCCAGAAGTCAGGGAACTCGGGGGGACCAGCAAGACACTGAGGAGTGGCCAGAGAAGGAGGGGACCAGGCCAGCGTGGGGTTCCAGGAGCCAGGGAGCACGAGTGAGCACCTGTCAGACGGGGGTGGAGTGACGGGTGGCCTGGCCGCGGGGCAGGCCGCAAAGTCTGACCACGTGGGAAGCGGGTGGGGGCCCCGGCGCCTGGGCCAGCAGGGTGGGCAGAGGGCCCTGGAGCCCCGGGGAGCTGCTCCCCTGCAGGGAGGGACCAGAGGCGCTTACAGCTGGACAGCACGGACAGGGTGGGAGCCAGGTGGCGTGCTCAGGCTCCCCCACGCGGGGCGGTACAGGTGGTCCTGGACGGAGGAGGCTGAAGGGTGACCAGGTGTCCTTTCTGTCTCCCTGGCTGCTCCTCCGGGACCCCAGACTGCAGGACTGGGATGAGGAAGGCTCCATTGCCTCGTACCTGCAAGAGGCCGCACAAGGCTCCTGGCAAGAGGAGGCCCCGCCAGGCCCACACTCGTTCCAGAGGACAAGCCCCACCACCCAAGCACTGGAGCCCAGCGGGTACCTGCAGTCCGAGGAGGCCGGGAGCCCCTGGGCGGCACAGGTGAGAGCCCGTGGGCGCCGCCTGCTCTTCTCCTGCACGGGCGGGGGCAGGGCAGGCTCTCAAGCGCCCGAGCCCGGGGCCAAACGTGTTTCCGTGCTCTGAAAACTGGTGGCGACTGCCCTTTCCCTGGAAGTCTGCGCAGTCCACCTTCCCGGGAGGGGCTCATGTGGCAGAGCCGTCACCCATCCCACCGCCGCGCCGCCGGCAGCTGGGCTCATGGCTGGGGGCAGCTGCTGTCAGAGGGTGGGGCAACGTGCCCTGGGCAGTGTGCGGTGTCAGGTCTGGCCGGGGCAAAGCCGCGGTTTCTGTTCCCTTGTTCCGTCGCGTTTTAGAAAGGGCTCAGAACCCAGACGACTGGGCGTTGGGTGACTCTGGCCCTTCCGGGGTCGGTGTGACCCTCTCCTCTTGGCATCGCAGTTCCTCTTTGGTAACTGGGGGGACTGGAATGTCGCTGCAGTCCGTCCGGCTCTGGAACCCTGTGGCTCCGGTGGCCTGGGGGGGGGGGCGCAGAGGAGCAGGCGGCGATGGGATGACGGGATGGCGGCAGCGCTGCCCTGCCCGGCCCGACGCCCAGCCTCGGCCGCTCTCCCGCCTCCTTTGGTTTCACGTTTGTCTCGTTTATTGCCTGAGTCCCCGCGCCCACCGCACCCCACCGTTATTCTGAAGCAAATCCCAGACATCTTACTAACGGGCGTCGTTTTAATTTGTGTCCTTACAAAACCCCATTGCTGTCCTGTGCGGATGCGTTTTTGACGTGTCCCGTGTTCCCTCCTCTTCTCTCCCTGTTCCTTTCTCTCCGAACCTCCGCCCTCGCAGGTCCCTGTGGGGACTCCAGGACTCGGTCGGCTCTAGGAGGGTCCGGGCTGCCGGCCGAAAGGAGCCCCCAGGGACTCGGCAGGGCTTTATTTAGAAAGCGTCCCGCCCCGCGTGTGCCCATCACTGCAGCCGCCCCTACCCTCTTCCCAGCAGCCCCGAGCCCTGCTCCCACTGCTCCCTGTGGGGGTCTTAATCGGGTTTGTTCTGCAGAATCCCCAGGGAAGGGGAGGGAAGCCGCTGCCCCTCCACGGTCAGACCACGGCGAGGGGGACGTGGGCAGCAGAGGCAGCGAGCAGGGCAGCCTGGGCGGTCGCAGGGGACACTTCTAGATCCTGCGGCTCAACCCCTCGGTGACAAATGAGGAGACTGAGGCCCAGGGAGGCGGGGCTTCCTCCAGGGTCACACGGTGAGGCAGCGCCAGGTCCAGGGTGAGCGTGCAGGGCCCCCACACTGGGTAGCCTTGCCAGTGGTCATCTCACGGCCCCCGGGGTGGCGCTGAGGCCCATCGAAGGTGAGGGTTGGCAGAGCGCCCATTTACTATCATTTCCGCTGAATCTCTGAAAACGGTGCCGGGAGACGGAGAGATGCCTGTGACTTGGGGCTTGAGGTGGCCGTAACCGTAATAATAGACGTGCAATGGCTGTGACCCAGACGACTCCCGCCGGGCTGTGGGTGGGAGTGCCTGAAGCCAGACTCCTCCTGAGCGAGCCCAAACCACGGTCCTTCCCGGGCCGGCCCCGCGCCGTGCTGCGGGCTCCGTCCTTCCAGGGCTTTCTCGCTGAAGTGAGGCAGCGCTGCGCGGTGATGAGGGTTTGCAGGCCGACCCTCTCTCCTGGGCGCGATGCTTTGCCCCTGGGAAAATGGCAGAACCTACGAGGTCAGGATGCGGCGAAGTGTGCCCGAGTCCCCGTGTGAAACACGCGCACAGCAGCGCACCGTCGGGAGCCTTTGCCGCTGCCACCCCCCAGCGGCTGGTCGCGTTCACGGACTTCCAGGTTTCGCAGCAGTCTCAACAAGGGGTACAGAGAGCACTGTAGTCCCTGCTCTGTGGGTGGGGAAACTGAGGCACAGCACGGGCCGCCTCCCCAAACCCCCACAGGAGGCAGGTTGTGGGGTTGGTGTGCCGTGTCCCAGGTCTCTGTTCTTCCTGCCGCTCGAAGAGGAAGAGCCTGACCCAAAAGCGCAGTTCCTTCCAGCCGCAGTGGCTCCCGCGCCGCGGGCGTGGAGAGCCTGGCACGGGAAGGGCCCTTCGGGAGAGGCCTTAAATAGACACGCCGGCTACACGGTCAAGTGGAGAGTTGCTGTGCCTGTAAAGGGAGGGACCGAGGGCCTGTGGGGCTGGCGGGATTTGCAGACGGGCCAGGTGCCCCCCACCCCTGCTGGGCCCCCGCTGTGCTCCCGGGGCTGGGCCTGCAATGTCGTGCCCTTGGGGCTATTTTTGAAATGAGCCCTTAACTGTCCAGGGTATTAGCTGGTCTGGTCCCTGCGGTGGCCACCCAGAAGACACACAAGTAGCCACATTCTCGGAAGGTCTTGTTTTCTGGAGTCCCTGAACGACTCTCCCAGCCAGGACTGCCTGTAGTTCCCACAGGGACAGGCCGAGCCCCTGCCAGTCTCTGGGCGGGGCAGGGCTGCAGCGGGTGTCCCTCAAGCGGTGACTCTGACATGGGCACCTGCCTGCTTCCTTCTAGCCCAGCTGGACAGCTTGGCAGCTGGTTTGGGAGCTAAAATTATAGAAGCCTGATGTCACCCGGGGGGCAGGGCACTCGGGCCAGGCTGCGCCGTTCCGGAGAGGCCCCATTCGGTGTCCTGCCCAGAGCAAGAGAGTGAGAGACCGAGAGAGCAAAGCAGAGAGAGAGAGAGAATGGGAGGCGTCCCCCGGGGACTGAGGAGTTCAGGAGGAGAATGAGGGGCCGGACCCCTGTCGCGGCCAGGCCCCTGGCTCCGCTGCTCCCCGGAGGGCTGGGCTGGTGAGCAGGGTGTGAGGATGTGGACCTTCGTCACGCAGCTGCTGGTCACCCTGGTGCTCCTGGGCTTCTTCCTGGTCAGCTGTCAGAACGTGATGCACATCGTCAGGGGCTCGCTGCGCTTCGTGCTGACGCACGTCCACCAGGAGCTGGACAAGGAGCTGGGGGAGGGCGAGGGGCTGAGCGACGACGAGGAGACCGTCTCCAGCAGGGTGGTCCGGCGGCGCGTCCTCCTGAAGGTACCGCAGGCAGGCGGCAGGTGGCCGGAGCTGGGAGGCCGAGGCCAGGCCGACGGACACTGCCGTGCCGGGGCGGCCTCCGGGGATCAGGTCCTGCCGGGAGCCAGAGCTGTGTGCGGCTCCCACTCGGTGTGGCCCTGCTCCCGTCCCGCTTCTGTCGCCCACTGCTTTGGGAATCCGGGCAGGTCACATTCGGGTGACGCTGTCTGTGGAAGGGCTTTCTAAGCTGGGAAGTGCTGTGAAAATATAACCTCCCTTCGCCTCTCAGGGCCTCCTGTCAGGCTTCACTGTCCCCGGGGCTCTCGCGAGGATCCCGCGCAGGAAGCCCTGGCCAGCCCTGGGCCGTCCGGCCTCAGGGCCTGTGGCACAGCTCACCCAAGGCACAGCTCACGCTCCAGGAGCCGTTGGCCCGGCCGCTGCTCCGCGAGGAGTTGGAGTTGCCGCGTGGGGACTGCCGTGTTCCCTCCTCGAGCTGCGTCCTTTCCCCCAGACGCCCACGCACCCATCTGAGCGCTCTCTCTTTCTCTCCTTCCAGGGGAACGAGCTTCAGAATATTCCAGGGGAGCAGGTGACAGAGGAACAGTTCACGGATGAGCAGGGCAACTTTGTTACCAAGAAGGTGGGTGAGGGGGTCCCCCTGAGCTGGCGAGAGGCAGGTGGGCCAGAAGCTAAAAGGTGGTAGAACCGAACCCCAGCTTCTCGCTGGCACCCCGACAGTGGGGTGAGGGCCCGTCACCTGCACTGCTCGGCAGGGGCGGCTCAGGGGCTTTTGGTCATCTGCCGTCCAGACGTGGTGTCCTCGTGGCCTCTTTGTCCAAGTCACCCTGAATAGCTCCTGCTACTCTGACCCAGGAGGACCAGCCCCCGAGAAGCATCCCAAACCATTCGCATGATGCCTGCCCCTGAAAACAGAGGTGTTAAGAGAGCAGTGTGATTGTCCCTGGCTCACCACGAGCCTCCTCAAATAAAAGGGTGCAGGAATTCACTGAGATGCCGATTCGAGCCTTGGGCACTGTGCTGGCCACGGGCGGGGGAAAAGCAGCAGGGAGGATCTCGCACGTGCTGTGTGTCCGTCCGTCCCTCCCCCTGAGCCACTTGTGGCAGGGACTGTCTTGTTCCAAGCACTCGGTGGGTGGAGAGGAAAGGGTTGTTTGAATATTTGAATGAGTTGAATCCAGTTACCGAAGGTGAGAAAGAACTGCCCTCTGCCCCCCATGCTGGTAGAAGCAGAATGGGGAGGACGGCACAAACGGCCACCACTGCCAAGCGGGAAGGAGGTGCTGTGTGCTCGAGATGGAGCCACACCTGGGTCGTTAACTGAAACCTGCCGAGACCCCTCCACTAATCCCAGCCCCTCTAGGTTTTGCTATAAGGCGCTGGGGAGAAGGTCGGTCCCTGTTCTTGGCCTCTCAAGGCTTGGCCCCTCGGGACAAAGGCCGCCTTCCTCGGATCCCATTCCTGGGACTTGCTGTCCTCAAGCTCCGTCTCGATGGTTTGACCAGCCCTGTCCCTTTTCCGCTCTTTTCCAGATCACTCGCAAGGTCGTCCGACAGATAGACTCATCCGGCGCCGATGACACCCTGGAGCACGAGGAGGTGATTGTGCAGGGCCCCTCGGAGGACCCCAGGGAGCTGGAGGCCGATGTCGATTACTTTATGAAACACGCCAAGGTACCGAGGGGCCTTGCTCCTCCGAGCCGCCCCCGCGCCGCCTCTGCTGCCCGGCGCCCCCACCCCCTCCCCTCTTTCCGGGCTCTCCCTGGAGCCTCCTTCCTCCCTGGCGGGCAGTGTTCCCGCCGCCTCCCTGCAGTCTCCTCTCGGTCTCTTGCCTGCATTCTGCCCATCTGTCTGTGCGACCGTCCGGCATTCTGTCTCCGCTGCGTCTCCAGGTGGAGCTGAGAGGGAGTGGCCTGCAGCCGGACCTCCTAGAGGGCAGGAAGGGGGCTCAGATAGTGAAGCGGGCCAGCCTGAAAAGGGGGAAGCAGTGACCCCAAGCCTCTCTCCTTGGAATAGCCCCTCGGGAGGTAACGCCGCCCTTCCCATCCTTCCTGCATGGCCTGGTCCCCGTGGAGCAGCTGCTCACACTCACTGTCTCAGCCGGTCCCTGCCACCTGTGCCCGGCATGTTGCAGGATGAACAGCCTGTTGTGTGGTCTGGAGGCTTAGATTGTCGCTTCCCAACCTACTAACTGCGTCTCTGAGCCCCAACTTCCTCGTTAGGAAAACGGAATCAGTAATATCCACTTGTCAGGGAGTGCACAAACACAGTTTGAAACAATACTTTTAGATGCGTAAACGCACTCTGTGAATCTGCCTGGTGATGTTATCTTGGAAACCAAGCAGTGGAGATTTGGAGGGCGTGTGGGCGGGGCCCTGGAGAGGATGGAGGAGTCTGTCTGGACTGTGACATTCCCACCTAAGTGCCCAGGAAGAGCTCCAAGACTCAGGGCTTGACGGGCTCTCGAACCTGGAACCCTGCAATGGCCCAGACCAGCCCCAGCCTTAGATTCTCCTTGGTGTTTCGCGAGACACGTTGCTCCCTCGCTTTCTAGGAAAGGACCAAGTTACCAGCCCCAGGGGTGGGTGGCATTCTCCCTGCAGGTCAGGAGGACCACTGGGGTTGGGGCCCAGGTCACGGTGCATGTCGCGTGTGAGCATGGGACAGTGTGGCCAGGAGCAGGGGTGTGCCGTGCCTCGAGGGAGGGTTGTGCAGACACTGGGACGGTGCCCAGCCTGTGCGTGCTGGTGCTGGTGCTGCGGGCTCCTGCGGCCAGCTCTGATCCTGTCCTCCCTGAGGGATCCTGTACTGAGCTGCCCCGAGGCCCTTCATTGCGCCCAGCTCAGGGCAGCTCAGTACAGGGTGCGTCGGGGTGGGAGTGAGCGGAAGCGAGGAAGCCTCATGGCCCAGCCGGCACTACCCGGGCTGCGGCTGCTCAGACCCCAGGGCCCGCTCTGGGGCCATCGCGAGCAGGCTCCGGCTTTGCACGTTCGGTAGAAAGCAGGGCCGCTGCCTCCCGAGCCACCAAAGTGCTGACTCTGGGCTTCCTGATATATCTCAGCACTTGGGCAAAGAGAGGACTGGCGGATCCAGTTGCAGGATAAAATTAGACCTGACTCCTCAGCAGCTTAAGAAGGTCACAGCGTTAACCCTGGCACTGCCAGGGGGCCCACCACGCTGCTGGTTTCGAAGGTGACTGGCTGCAGTTGGGTCCTAGCAAGACTTGCAAGGCACAAGTGATTTTGGAAAGCAGAGAGGGAAAGAGAAGGGACGCTCTCCTGTCCTATTTTCTCACGGCCGCAGCCGCAGCCGCACATTGGAGCGTGTTTAGCTCAGTTTCTGCTGATGTTCCAGGACGGGAGGGGGCATCCCAGAAGCCCAGCCGTGGGGGAAGGAGGGAACCGGGATTTGTTTTTACTTGCTGTAGATGATCTGCAGAGTGGCTGAAGCCCCCACAGGTGATTAGGGACCAGACCGCAGTGCTGGGCCGTCTGCCAGTAAAAGGCCGGGGAAGCATGTGGTTGGGAGGGAGTGACAGGGGGCAGGTAAACACTGTTCCCTCCCGGCCAGAGCAAAGGCTGCAGAGACACAGGCGAGGGCCGCAGCCTCTTGGGGCCTGTTTACCCCACCCACTCACAATCGTGTAGTTGATCCTCGTTGCTAAAATGTCTTTGTAACCTCAAAGCCGACAGTCACCACGCTGTTGCCGTCATTCGCAGACACGAACATGGCGGGAAATTTGAGTCACCCAAGGTGCACATTCCCAGCTGAGTCTGAACAAGGTGGTGACAGTCCGCCTCCTTGCGTCAGCTCTGATACTGGAAGCAGGTGTCCTTCTTGTGGTCTGTTTGAGGTCAAACTTTTTGCATTTTTGTGCTTTTTGTTGGTTGTGTAAAATGGCCCACAGGGGCAGGGCCGAAATGCTGTCTAGCGTTCCTAAGGCAGGAAGGCTGCGCCTTAGGGCGGGAATAGGTGTGTTAGGCTAGCTTTGTTCAGGGGCGAGTTGTGGCGCGGTGGAGAGGTCGATAATAATGAATCAATCAGATATATTAAATAATGTGTCTTTAACACATTGACGGCCACACTAGAAAAAAATTTTCCCTGGGGCCACAGTGTTTTCTTAAAACAAAATGATCCTTTCTAATTGGTTATTTTTTAATTTCTGTGTGTTAGTTATATGCAACACAATCCACGTTTTTAGAATTAAATTGTCAATATTAATTGTGAGAATAAGAACATCAGCAAGTTAAGATTTTCACGAACCAACTGTAGGGTTTCGCTTCACGAGGCCCCGGGCTCAAAACTAGCTTGAGTTAAATACAACTCACAAGGCAGTTAACATGTTAAACAGAAACACACATAGAGCAAAGTTATGTTTTCATCAGTTGATAAAAATACTGTGACCGGAGGCTCAAAGGAACCTGACCTTGAATTTCCCTTAGGAGCAGCTATTCTGTATTCGCTACTTCAGTGTTGACGGTGACGCTATAGAACGTGACTGCCTCATAATGAGAATCGACTTCGTGTGTTCCGAGAGTGAGAGCTGAGGCTGGGGAGTCTAGATTCAAGTCCTGCCTCCTCCTGTTTCCAGGCTGGGTGACCTTACACGAGTCATTAAACTGCCCTTAGCTTCAGCCTCCTCCAGGGAGGATAAAAATAGTCCTTCCTGGATGTGTGTTACACCTCAATAAAGTGTAACAAGAATAATGGCCAGCTGGGCACAGTGGGTCACACCTGTGACCCCAGCACTCTGGGAGGCCGAGGCAGGAGGATTGCTTGAGGTCAGGAGCTCGAGACCAGCCTGAGCAAGAGTGAGACCCTGTCTCTACTAAAAACATTTAAAAACTTTTAGTAGCCGAGTGTCATGGTGTGCACCTATAGTCCCAGCTACTCGGGAGGCTGAGGCAGGAGGATCGCTTGAGCCCAGGAGTTTGAGGCTGCAGTGAGCTACGATGACGCTACTGCACTCTAGCTGGGGCAACAGAGTGAGACTCTGTCTCAAAAAAAAAAAAAAAAGAATGGTGGCTGAGAGAGCTGTTGTGAAGAGTAAGTAGGAATGTGTGTCCCCTGGCACGCAAGCGCTCGCAGATGTGTCTGTGCTGTGGCTCGGGGCAGTTGCCCGACCTTCCTCAGCCCCAGGTTCCTCGTGCACAAAGGAGCAGTGATGCCACGACGGCCCTTCTGGGTGGGCCGTGTGGATGGTTAAGTCCGCGCAGGCCGTTCCTCAGAGGGCTGTCTGCGTCCCTGCATCACAGTCTCGTGACGACGTCCTGTTAAAACGCAGACTGCTGGTCCCTGCCCCAGACCTACTGGGTCACAGTGCTGGAACTCGGGATTCTGCCGCAACCCCCTCGGCTGAGTTTTACACGTGTGCACGATGGAGTCATCGCGCCTCGCTTTGGCTCTGCTCCCAAACCTCTAGCAGGGATGTGGCTCAGCTGGACGCTTTCTGTCTAAAGCGGGGACTGAAAGAATGAGGGTTTAGTTTGTTTGAGGACGTGGAACTCCCGCGAGGGCAGCACAGCCCTCCCGGCGAGGCCCGCGCTGCAGACCCCACAGTCACTCCAGCACGGGGAAGGGTTTCGCGCCCGAGACCCGGCAAGGGCGGCCGTGTTTGAGGTGCTGGGAAGTTGCTGCTGCGTCGAGGTGTGCTTGTTTGGGGCACACAGTAGCAGGTGGTGGGTTTTGCATCGTGCCCAAGCAGGTAGGTGCGAGTACGAGAGTGTCATCGCTGCTGAGGACGGTGTGTGGCGAGGCAGTCGGGAGGGCCGGGAGCCACCCTGCAGCCCTCTGGGCAGGGCCCTGTCCTCGGCCCTCCTCCACGCCCAGGCCTTCCGGGACGCGCTGGCGCTCTGCAGGCCGAAAAGCCTACTGCTCTTCCTGTTTTCCTTTGTAAGCGATGCTCTGCATTCTGACACTGTGGTCGCAGACTTGCGTTCACCCTGACAATGGACAGTTTTAATCCGTTTCCAGACTAATCCATCGTGTCCATGGGAGGGGTGGGGAGACAAGGTGCTGTGTGGGGCTGAGTCGACCCTCTGTCCCCAGCCACCCTGCACGCGTCAGCTGGGTGGGGGAGGAGAGAGCCGTGAGCACCAGCAGGCTGAGAGCAGGTGCGACGACAGAGAGAGGAACTGAGGAAGGGAACCCGGCCAGCACAGCCACCAAGAGTGTCTGAGCATTTTAAAGGGTGAGCCCTTTCTCAGAGGGGACCCAGGGAAGAGTCACCGTGAAGTGCAGGGGTCCCCAGGGAGCCTTCCTGCCCCAACACCACTCCCTTGAGTCTCAGCTTCCCCGGACGTGACAGAGCTGTCCCGCCAGCGTGATCGCTAGGGTTTGAGCTTTGGCTTCCACTCCGTGCCTGGGCAGCAGAGTGAGTGGGAGACCTTGGCCGGTCTGTGCGAGGCTCAAGGGCCCAGAATGGCCTTTTATTCGAGGAGTGCTTAGCTCGGGCTGGGCATTGGCGGGAACACCCGGAGGCTGTGCATGGCCTCGGAGCATGTGTAACCCAGCCACGGAAAGATGCAGGGGTAAAAGGACAGACACGCAGAGATAGTAGCACTTCGGAGAGCCCAGGAGTCGTTCCTGTTCATGTAACATGTCCTGTCCCGTGCACTTTATGTGTTTAGTTCTGTTAAACATCACAGCTAGCAACGAGGCGGTGCTATTATTGCCCTCACTTTACAGCAGAGGGAACTGAGTCACGGAATGGGTAAGTTCCTTGGCCAAGGTCAGGTGGCACAGAGTTTGACCCAGGCAGTCTGGCTCCAGAGTTCGTGTCAGCCCCTGGACTCTGCTCTCTTTAAACAGAAGGCAGTGGCGGGAAAGGAGAGCTCCCGGAGTGGAGCAGGGTGTCCAGGGTGGCGGGTGGGACTTCCACACACAGCAGAGTGGAAGGTGGCCCTGCCAGAGGGCAGGGCTTGGAGGAGACGGCCACCAGGAGGCAAGTCCTCCCTGTCAGGGGATGGCTCTGTGCAGCCGGGTGGCAGCA